TTTGTTGCACAATTGGTTCCTGCTGGGTTGGTTCGCTCATTGCCAGAGATCCCTATTGCTGATCTTTTCTGGCCGGCCATCTGATCTTGAGTATTGAGCGAAGACAGCTGTTAATGAAGGTCTGTAGTTTGTTTGAGGTGCTCTTTATGACGCGCTGGCCAAGTCTCTAATCCGTATGCAGTAGTACTGACTGACTTCACATTGGAGTTGAAAATCCGGATCTTATTTTCATTTTCAAGCTGAGTGCTGTTGACGCCCACACAGACTTGAGAGTAATGAAAGCTTGTCTTTCTTTCCTGATGGTTGCTTTGATATCCTCGTGAGTTCCACCTGTAGTTGGAATGATGCTTCCCAGGTAGGAGTTCTAAACAATTAAGTGTGTTCAAAATGTTATCCGGTGAATATTACTGTACTTTGATTTCTTCTTTCTTATTCCTTTACGTTCCTAGTGAAACATAAAGCTTCAAGCTAGAGGCTTGGAGTTTCGGTAGCATTATTATTTTCAGTTTTGTGGGATGGGGTTGCTATCTAGCCTCATTTAACGAACCTTCCCTCTTTACTAGTCTTATTACTGGCTTCACAAGGTAATCAAGTGCGTTGGCTGGGAATCCAGCACCAACCACATGAGTGGTTCTTCTCTACTGTTCTACCTTGTGATATATCTAAAAGAAACACTTAAATGCCACAAGACTGGGATAGTAAAGTTGCTATCAAAGTGGTTATGAATAATGACTGAAACAGGGAAATCTTTCAGTGCACAGATTTTAAACGACTTAGATAAGAAAAAAATATGCTTCACAATATAGACAAAGTTCCCATTTATAGAAGGTAAAACGACTAACGTGAAAACAGATCCACAGTATCTCACGCTTTACTGAGCCTTGGCACTGTACTTCAGATAGTTAGTCATTGAGTACCTTTAACACAAACTGTTGCTCAAATGATTTAATTGAAAAGTATATTATTTCTCACCTCAATCTTTTTGTTTTCTAATTTTTTTTTCTATTATTCAAGTGTTGGTTTGTAGGGATTTGATTAGTTAAAGGATTTCATCATGAGCTGACATTGGTTAGAGAACCATTGGAAAACCAGCTGGGAGTACTGGACAGCTGTTTTCTCCGTCCTAGTTTGGGACTCTTCACCAGTACGCACCCACCGGGATCCGAACCCAGGACCTTCCAGTTTCAAGGCGAGCTCATATACCAATAAGCCACTGGGACATGATCCAATGGCCTATAAATTCTAACTTCTGCCAATTGACGATACAGCACAACCGCTAGCCAATGTCTTCGGCGAGTATTTGTCTGTCTGTCTGTCTGGATTCAACATAGAACTTGGCACCGAAGTGCAGCAGTTCGAGTTGCCACGTTCCAAATAGCACACAGAGGTAGACAAGAAGATGAGTGAAGAGAATCAATAGAGTTTGACAAATATAAGAGTGAAACAGAATGGGTAATGGTAGAAAGGAATATGAAAGATTACAGAGATTGAATACATCTGCGCCATTGACAACGATTTTGAGCCATGTCACCTATTGTCTCCAGCCATTGATTCCTAGAGTCCCGAGGGCCCCAACCCGGGAGTCTGCATCTCCCTACCTGACTCAGTTTAACTGTCAAGGATTTCATGGATTGATGCCATGTTTTTGTTTGGCCACCACTGGCTCTTTTCCAACCTGAACCTATATCAGCTAACAATGCCCGTCGGGGGAGGCGGTGGTTAGGCATGCGCACCACGTGACCTAGCCATCTTAGTCTATGTAACTTTATAACCTCGTCGATTGATTTTCCCTCTTTGCCCAACACTCTACGCCTAACGTCAACATTACTTACCTTGTGAAACCACCTAACGTGAGACAGAGATCGCAGACATCTATGATCGAAAGCAGTCAACCTTTTCATGTCTTCAACGCGTATTGGCCATGTTTCAGAGCCATAGAGAAGGACGGAGCGAACTGATGAGCAGTACACACGTCCCTTGGTTGATAACCGGATGTCACGCCTACGCCAGAGATGGTGTAAGTCAGCGAAAGCAGCTCGAGCTTTTCGGATCCGTGCTGAGATTTCATCGCCAATCAGTCCGTTGGTGCTAATACAACTTCCCAAGTAGGTGAAGTGGTCAACATGTTCTATCACTTCACTCCCTATCACTAAGTTAGGGGTTGACGTGGTCCAGTCCTGTAGCAGCATCTTACATTTTGCAGGGGCGAATCGCATGCCAAACATACGAAGATTGCTGCTCAAGGTGTTCAGAAGACTCTGCATTTTGTCAGCATCCTCCCCTAACAGGACTATGTCATCTGCATATTCTAAGTCCATTAGATTATTCCCTGGTAACAAGTCGATTCCTAAGTCACTACGTTCAGTTAAGGATACTTCCATTAGCATATCTATGATGAAGTTAAACAGAAATGGGGAAAGTGGACATCCCTGTCGGACACCACTGGTTGTTACTAATTCAGATGACAATTCCCCATAAGCCCTTACACGACTACGTGAGTTTGAATAGAGTGCCTTGATTAGTGCAATGTACTTTCTTGGCACTCCCTTCACAGTCAGACATTGCCATAGTACTTTTCGATCCACGGAGTCGAAGGCCGCCTTCAAGTCAAGAAATATGACAATTGTTGGACGCCGAAAAGTGTGTCTATGTTCTAGAATCTGTCGAAGAGTGAAGATATGATCTATGCACCCTCTACCTGGTCTAAAGCCTGCTTGATTTTCCCTTGTCTGTTCCTCCCGAGTTCTGCTTAGTCTATGCATGATTACTGAGCCTAGGATTTTAGAGACTATGTTCGTTAGGCTGATCCCCCTATGATTATCACACGAGGACTTGTTTCCCTTCTTGAATATCGGTATAATGAGTGACTTACCCCAGTCTGATGGTACTGTCTCTGATTCCCAGACTTTGCCTAGTACCTCAGTTAATCTACAAACTAGTATGTCACCCCCATATTTAAACACCTCCGGAATAATTCCGTCGGGTCCTGCCGCTTTGCCTCGTTTCAAATTACTGATAGCTTTTGTAACCTCACCTACAGACGGCGGACCAGTGTCTATATCCCATTCGGGTACGTGGTGGATGGCGGGGAGGTTCAGTGTGGCTGTAGGCAAGTTAAATTGTTCCTCAAAGTGTTCTTTCCAGCGTTCAAGGCGTCTATCCTGAGAGCTAATTAAGGAGCCATTTTTCTCAGAAATAGTCTCACTTATGAATTGCCTTTTCCCGCCCGATTCTGTGATGAGTCTAAAGAGTTGCCTAGTGTTGCCTATCGCCAATGCTTTTTCCATCTCTTTCGCCTTTGTCACCCACCACTGTTCACGGTCTTTGCGGAGACTTTTAGTAAGTTTCCTTTTGTGCAGCTTTCGCTTTCGAGTATTTGTCCTCACACCCGACCTGCTGCAATCTACTGGTCACGACTTTTTTTTCTATTCCTCCGCGTTCCCAGTGGAAAATAGGGTTGCAAACTTGAGCTTTGAAGTTCCTATAGCAATGGTGTTTATTTTTCATGGGGATGAGGTTGCTAGTCTCGCGCTTAACCTCCTCTCTTTACCGGGGTAAACGTCGGCCGGAGGTCGGACCTAGGACCATATGGTGGTGACTGGCGAGTACTCTACCGCTAAATCACCAACGCATATGCTTCAGATTAAATGTTAATAGAAGTATTCAGGAACAACTGTGGTCTGAACACTTCTCATTCAATACTACAGAGCTTGAATAATATGATAAATCCAATAAATTCCTTCCGTAAATGGTGTACAATAATGGCAGATGGTCATTCGTTTTTGGTAAAACATATTTTATAGCAATTAACAGATCATATTCTGATCTATGACTTTCAGAATAATTTGGTCACCTGTAACTTTAATATTTTTGAATTCTGAGGACTACAGATAGACAGTGATTAACCTCATTTGTCGAAATAACTAACCAAATTAAGTGTTATGCTTAGGTTGCTTACAGTTACAGAAAACTCTTTATACGTCTAATATTTTCATGGTTTAGTAAAGCTAAAAGATATTAGGAGAGGATACTTGGATACCAGTCACCGGGAAGCATTATTTCAACTATAGGTGACAGCACCAATATGGATATCAGGGGCAGAATCGAAAAGTCAAGGTACACTTACCTCACTGTGAACCCAGTTTGCAAATCTTTTTCACTCAGTCAGTACAAAGAACAAGATTTGGATTTTCAACACAAATGTTAAGTCAGTCAGTCAGTCAGTGAATTCTTCTATATGGGTTGATTTTTCGGGGTAGGGTTGACAGCCCTACGTCCAATCTTTCTTCAGGGCTTAGGACCACCGACGTTTAGTATTCTCATGCTCACCTACTGTTAGTGCACTAGGCAGCAACTAAAACCTCTAGTAAAACACCATGCATACTTTTGAATCACTACTGAAGATGTATACATCTACCTGGAGTATAGACAAATAAATAAGGCTAGTCAACTGATTCACACATACTGTCTGGAAGTGAGTGAAGGGGAATGATGCTCAGGAAGGCTTCATGTGCTTTTGGAAGTGTGTGGGTGGTTGTTACTTCCCGGCTGCCCAAACCGTGGAAGTTGATTAATTCTTCGGGTACCTGAAGCAGAAAGAGTGTTGCGTGACCGCAGAGCCCAATAGACAAATGCTTGAGGTCGGTCACACACGGCCTGTTTTTGTTTGTACTTTTTTATTTGGTGAGTCTCAGTAGCATATTTATCACTCCTGCCCTGTGACACGGCAGCATGAAGCGCAGTCGTTGTTAATCCGGGTCCCGACCGATCCGGCATGATATTTTGTGTTTTTATTTGAGTCATAGTAATGGATTGGGTAGCTGCTTTTTGTCTAACCGCTAACCAAACAACATTTCTGGCATGGTAGGACCTCAATCGACATAAGTCTCAGTCAGTATAGCTTGTATAGCCAGTATACCTTCACACGTACACACACGCACACAGAGAGAGAAACTCAAAAAATTTTATATGAAGCTAATGCTGAATTGTCTAAAACTCACTTTGGATTATCGTAGAACGCATACTGAGTAGTATTCCCGTGATGAACATCCCAATCAACTATGAGTATACTAAAAAGAGAAAAGGAAAAGATTATATTGAGCAAAAAATAGAAACAGAAATGGTCTTAAATATCACAAACAAACTATTATTTACAAGTATTGGTTTTTGTAAGGATTTTGTTTGATTGAAAAAACCTGAACCACTGGATCCAGTTCCAGTGGCTTAGCGGTCTATGAACTTCGCCTAGTAACCAGGCCCTGGGTTCGAACCCCGGTGAGCGTGTACTGACGAAGAGTCCCGAACTAAAACGAAACGGCTGTCCAGTACTCCCAGGTTTTCCAATGTTTCTCTAACTGATGTCAGCTCATGATGAAATCCTTCAACCAAACAAAGTATTATTTAATTATAAATTGATGAGATAAACACTTGACACTACAAATAATGAGATAATTCACTGGTATCTTGATATTGTAATGTTGACTATAGCGGTGATATCTACAACACAGAACTCATTTACATGAAACAGGGTTGATAATACCATTCAGTTATCTAGACCACAGTAACTCAAGTGGGGTTCGAACTAGAGAGACCATCAGTTGACAGTCTAGTGCTAAAGCCAATAAGTAAGGACCTTATGATGATGTCTAGTGTAGTCATACAATTTGGAGGTTGATGACTAGCAGTGGAATCTAGGACAATGCGCATTTCGTCCTGTTTTGGACTCGTCATCTGGATATACCTATATTCCCACCGAAGCTCGAGGCCAGTATACCCATAGTTTCAAATGAAATTACTTCAGGCTAAATCCTCCAAACAAGGAGCTGATATGTCAACAGAGGCCAAGCACTTCGGTCCAATCAATCAAAAGGAAAGCCCAAATTGAATTAAATTGTGGTCATAAAACGTTTATAAACCAGAGTTCTAAACTCAGAAATGACGTCTGTGAGTGCGAAATACTGGGTCAAGCATGATTGAGCTGGTAGGTATGTCTTATTGACGAGATTGTCACTAAATACGAAACCTATCGTGTGTCTCCAATCATCACAATGACGATTCCCCAAATTTCATCACCATATCACAAACTTGACTGACAGAATTCGTGTATTAACACCAAGAATTAGACACACAGGACATTGGTTTCACCTTAGTGACTAATCACAATGACTGCAGGACATAAGAAAAAGACGAAAAACAAAGAGACTTTGAAAATTTCTACGATATACACTACTGCCTTCTGGACTGCTATCTGAGGTATAAAGTAGATCATGCAGCGTGATCCGAATAATTTTGGTTTCCAAAAGAAAGTTTAGTGAATAAGTGAACAGTAAGGTGTCGAAAGATACGATACATACTCCTGATTGTTATGAGTAGTAGACGTTATATACAAGACATACAGGAGATATGACTTTGAATTCATTCCCACTATCGATGGATGTAACTCATTATATTACAGAAATAATAATTTTACTTCTCAGACGTTACACTAAGCCACTTTTACAGCTGAGAACATATTGTATACAATAACATTAAGCGGTCAGGATTAGATAAATCTTGAACTCAATTCCTCGGAACACACTTCATGTATAGCAGACCATGAACGCCATACTTATTGTATGAGGATGATGATACCACCTACTAGCCCAGGTTTGAGTAGAAGTAGGAGAAGCGGGAATTAAACTAGAGAACTAGTGGCTGACAGTCGAGTGCCTAAACGCTATGTGCCACACATCTCCGCTTGACATAATGATCTACTCATCAATGAGGTTGCGAAACTACATCGATTGCGTGAGATGGTTAGGATATGTGTTACGCATGCCTAGATACAGCCTTCCTCGACAACGGGCAATGTTAGCTCATATAAGATGATATTGGAAAACATCAAAATGTTGTACCAATCTACCGGTTATGCTAGTTAATCAGTTTTAGGTATAAGTAGGAGTGAAATCAAGAGGTTAAAGGTCATCAAAACGAATGACTAATACATGTTAGTAACAAGATTTCCAAGTTTTAAAAGAGGGGTGAAAATTAATTAACTATGGAATTCAAGATAAGTTGATTCTTAGGCGTTGGCAACATATCATTACATAATCAAGAAATTTGTAAAATAGCAATGATGACTAAGGAGAATAGAATGACTCAGACGAGTTACGCAACACTCAGGCAAGTTAATAGAGTTAGCTAGAGTTGTAAAAACTGTAAAAATTAACAAAGTCAAAAGATAGTTGTCACAAGGGGAGGAGAAAAAATCGTTTTTTACAAACTTAATACTTATTATGTAGTTGGCCATGGCAAAGATGAAGGGGCTCTACGAATTTCTTTCGAATACACACACACTTGGCTTGCTCAGATGAATTCCGATTGCCTACGCTATGTGTAAAAGTCGTACTCGTAGACCATGCGAGAGTTTGGATGATATATGATAAATAACATTAAAAGCTTTGTTAGATTCGATTCGATGTCCAGTATCAACGAGATGAGAGCTAGTATTTAGCTGTGTATAGCGGCTTTATTTGGACCTTTGCCAAATTGAGATGGGAGGTGTTCACAAAGAAATTCGACGATGAACTTGCTTGATCGTACGCCCTATGTAACTAGCTCCGCACGCGCAGTTAAACTGGTAAACACAAAAGGAAGGGGCGAAACAGGGCAGTTTGTCTTTATTTCTTGAACTAAGTATTGGTTGGCTAGTGAATACACCCCTTGTGATCAAGTATAATAATAATGTATATTTTTCATATAAAGTGAAACAAGGGATATTATGGGCTACACCTGTCTGTCTGTCAATCTGTTTTCGACATAGAACTTTACACATATGTGCACCAGTTCAAGTCGCCACACTCCCTCCATGTAGCACACAAAGCAAGAGAACAAAGTACAAGAAATGCATTATAGAGACAGTAAACAGAGGTGTCAGATGAGACAAAGGAATAGTAATAATGAAGAGTAATATAGTTTCATTTGAAATCATAAGTCACAAGGAGTGGATGCATCTGAGCCAGCCATTGAGAATGATTTTGAGCCATGTCAGCAATTGTCTGCAGCCTTCATTGGTTTTTATCGTCCCGAGGACCCCAACCAGGAAGTTTACACCTTCCTACGTGACTGGCTTAGACTAACTGTTGTAGATTTCATTGACTGGTTCCATGTTTTTGTTTGACCGCCGTTAGCTCTTTTCCAGCCTGACCCTATATCCGCTAACAGTGCTCGTCAAGGAAGGCAATGACTAGGCTAGTCATACGTAACACATGTTCTAACCACCTCAGTCGATGTAATTTCACAGCCTCGTCGATTGATTTCCCCTCCTTACCTAAAACTCGACCAATGCCTAACCTCAATATTGCTCACTTTATTATACCACTTCACACGGGAGATAAAGCACAGGCACCTATGATCAAAGATAGCTAGCTAGCCTTTCCATGCCTTCCACTTTCAATGGCCAGGTCTCACAGCCATAAAAGAGGACGGAGCGGACTGCTAAGCAGTACACCCACCCGTTGGTCGATAGCTAGCCGGATATCATGTCTACACCAGAGACGGAATAAACTGGCATATGGGAAACTAGCCCTCTGTACCCGTGCGGAGATTTCGTCAGAGATCAACCCGTTGGTTTATTTAGGATGTAGGCAGCAGTTGAAGAGAATCCACGAAATTCAAACAAGCTGGTATTATTTTGTTTGCAAATATATATACTCGTTCTTTCTTTATTCAAACTTTCTGATAAAAAGCAACATGCTGTATGAAATTTGACATTCCTATTAAAAATTCTTGTACTAATTATCTGTGGACCTCATTATTTCAATGGGAAATCGACAGGAACAATTTTTAATTATTATTATTATATTGCGTGAGATAAATACAAAATATACTACTACTACTACTACTACAACTAACCGATTATAATTCAATTGATCCATAGCATATTGAGCTGCAATCACCACATTGTTGAATATACAAAATCCACAAGCTTCATTCTCCAATGCATGATGACCTGGTGGTCTGTATTTGTAGAATTAAACATTAGAGAATAGAAAAAAAAGTAAATAAATAAGTAAATACTACTTATATAAGATATGAACTATTCTATAACTGAATAATTAGAATTTCATATTACATAGACATTTTCAGGCACTGGGGTCTGGCACCTAGTGCGTGTCCAATAGACGTGTGCTTTTCTATTTATTTTATTCCTCTGAGGGGCTTCAAGGTTGACCTCTGAGGTTTCAGTACCAGTAGTGTTTGTTTTCACAGGATTTGGTTTCTAGCCTCACGTCCAACATAGCGCCATCACTAGCCAATGTCTTTGGAGAGTATTTGCCCTCACACCATATGTCGTGAATTGGCAAAAGTTAGAATTCATGAATTGGTGGTGGCCATTGGATTGGGTCCCAGTGGCTTAATGGTCTACAAGCCCGCCTTGTGACCAGAAGGTCCTGGGTTCGAACCTCGGTGGGTACTTACCGGGGTAGGACAAAACAGCTATCCAGTACTCCCTGTTGGATTTTCCAGTGGTTCTCAACCCGATGTTAGCTCATGATGAAATCCTGTAATCAATCAATCAAAATCCCTACAAACCAATACTTGAATAAGGAAAAATATCACTACAGGATTGATAATAGCAGATTTTTTTGGTATTAGCAGTGACAGTCAGCAATGTCAAAAATGTACGGAAAGTGTAAACTGATGATGACGATAATGTTCATAGCTAAAATTATAAGTCGACTGAAATAGTGTCACCATAGATTAAAAACAGGAGAGAATAAAAGAGCCGATTATTTTGCTAATAACATATGAAATTGTAGGTTTCGCGATTAGCGCTATCTCTATCACACAGCACTCGGGACAAATCTGATATCGTTGAGTTTTTGTACCTCGTTGTGCTAACATAAAATCTTTTATAATTAATTCTAGTCCTACCTGATGAGATGCAGCTAGAGGAGAGTTGAGAACACAGAGGGTGTTAAGTCTTAGACAATATGGATTTGGATTATTTCTCACATGAGTTCAGGTGTCTATCAATTAATGTAGTAACAAGCTAGCTAAGTGCTATACCATTTACGCTACCTACAATATTTAATACCCTACGCAATATCTCATATTCCTTTTTGAATAGCCCAGTAGGGAATACTAAGGGGGAGTAGTAAAATCCAATAGGTAAGACGCAAGAGTTAACAAATTGTAAAAGTAAAGGTTGAATAATTCCAGATTGCCTTAACTTGATAATATAGTAGGTTAGATGGAACATTTTCTGAGAAATCGATATTATATAGGATGACGAAGAAAGGTCAGAGGAAAGAACTATTACAAGTTATTTAATCCTTCATTTAGTTTCTATTTCAGTGACCTCTATGCTACAAGCATGATGTAAACGAACCAGTTCTTGTACATCACATTTATGCTGTAAAGTGAAGTTAACTGCCTGACATTTAGAATGATTTAAGGTAAGATCATTCAGTTTAAATCACTGGTTGATATTTGACAAAAAGCTATACTGTTTGAAACAGTCAGATCACGATGTAACTGGTAGAGAAACAGTCAGATCATCAGCATATTTAACGAAGTCGATTTCATCCGAAAAAGGTAACTCATGTAAGAAGAAAGAAAGAAAAAGAAGAAGAAAGAGAACAGCACTCTAAGGGACTCCAACTACAGTAAGCAAGACAGATAAAGGTTTGCCTTTATATACAGTATACTGCATTCTGTTAGAGAAAAAGGAATGCAACCAGTTAACGATACGTCATCTATTATTATTTCACTTCGGGATCCTGTACAGGGAATTCTGTACTATACTATGTAAACATGCTGTCCAAAAACAAATCTTTTTTATGCGGTAATTCTCATTAACCAACCGAAACTAACCAACCAACCAATCAGAAAAGCCTACTCATCAAATGAGGATATAACATACCTGACTAAACAGAAAGCATTTCTAACATCTCCACGATGAACTAAATCCACTGCTTGTATCCATGATCCAACAGATAATCTTGCGGGTAAATCAGTGTGCTATAAGTGACAAAATAAGAAAATAAGAAAGGGATCTGCATTTTATTAATAAGTGGCGAAGTTCAACAATAGCGTCCCAGGAGTGTGAACGCTTCAATGACCTTGAACGCATGCTAGTCGTTGGCTAACGGCACCTTTTATTATCAGAACTGAAATATCAACTCTATTCATCAAATAACGAGAAAGTTTCACCCAGATCACGCTTTTAATTACTGTTTGGACAATGTGTTAATATCTCGTTAGGGTTAGGGTAAGGGTTAAGTTAAGTATCGAGCTTAGGGTTAGGGTTATGGTCATAATCGGGATTAAAGTTAGGTTTACGGCAGGATAAGAATTGTCATTAGGGTTAGGATTAAGGTTAGGGTTGCGATTAGGGATATAGATTTATAGTTAATGTCATTTATTTCAATATGTTTTATTATCCTCATTTTCCTTGTATGTAGTCGTCGATCCTCTTACTGAAACCATATTAATTTAAACGAGGGCTTGTCTGTCTGTCTCTGTCTGGATTCAACATAGAACTTGGCACCGAAGTGCAGCAGTTCGAGTTGCCACGTTCCAAATAGCCCACAGAGGTAGGGTAGACAAGAAGATGAGTGAAGAGAATTAATAGAGTTTGACAAGTATAAGAGTGAAACAGAATGGGTAATGGTAGAAAGGAATATTCACAAAATTTCATGCCGGATCGGCCGTGGCCCGGATTAACAACGACCGCGCTTCCTGCTGCCGTGTCACAGGGCGGAAGTGATAAGTATGCTACTGAGGCACACAAAACAACAAAGAACAAACAAAAACAGGCCGCGTGTGACCGGCCACAAGCAGTTGTCCCCTGGGCTCTGCGGTCACGCAACCAACTTCCACGGTGTGGGCAGCCGGGAAGTAACAATCGCCCTCACAATCCAAAACGCACACAAAACCAAAACGAGGGCTTGGGAGAGGACTGCACAGCAAGAGGAGAGAGATGAACGATTCACAATACAGCACATATCCAGTCACTTCGGTGAATACATCTACACAAACTAGTTCAACTTAGCAACTGATACTCTTCATCATAACTGAGACGTATTTTTAAGTCATGTTAGAGAAAGATGATCTGTTTAATAGATTTTCATGCATTTTCTGGCGAATATACGTCATTTTTTGTGCAAAAATTCGACATTTTTACGATTACTTGGCTTAAGGTCACTCGTGCGTTCGCATCGCTTGGGACGCTATTGTTAAACTTTGCCTAAAAAGTAATGGTGGAATAGTAACGCACACACACTGACTGCTCATGTGTTTTTAATGCATTCAATATTAGAGCTAATTAACTGTTATTCAAGTCGAGTGTGTGTGGGGTTGGGTGTTAAAGGTTAGTGATTATAGCAATGCAAAATAAAAGAATTTGGGCATTAAACTGAATTATGAACATAGAAGTTTGCGCAAAGATGTGGCTAAATCAAGTTGATATGCTTTGGAAGTGTACATATAACACCGATGAAACTTTACACATAAATGAATCACAGAAACATTAACATGGAATTAATGGATTAGCTGATCTGTCTGTCTGGTTTCAACATAGAACTTTGCATCGGTGGACAGCAGTTCGGGTCACCACACTCTATGTAGCATACATAGCAAGAGATGAAAGTAAAAAAAACGCCAAATAGAGACAGTAAACAGAGATATGCGGCGAAAAGGATAGTTATATCGAAGAACATTATAGTTTTATTGGATATTACAAGTCACAAGGAGTGGATGTCTGTCTGTCTGGATTCAACATAGAACTTGGCACCAAAAAGCAGCAGTTCGAGTTCCCACGTCCCAAACAGAACACAAAGGTAGACAAGAAGATGAGTGAAGAGAATCAATACAGTCTGACAAGTATAAGAGTGAAACAGAATGGGTAATGGTAGAAAGGAATATGAAAGATTACTGAGACTGAATGCATCTGCACTGGCCATTGACAACGATTTTGAGCCATGTCACCTATTGTCTCCAGCCATTGATTCCTAGAGTCCCGAGGGCCCCAACCCGGGAGTCTGCATCTCCCTACCTGACTCAGTTTAACTGTCAAGGATTTCATGGATTGATGAGGCCATGTTTTTGTTTGACCACCACTGGCTCTTTTCCAACCTGAACCTATATCAGCTAGCAATGCCCGTCGGGGGAGGCGGTGGTTAGGAATGCGCAGCACGTGACCTAGCCATCTCAATCTATGTAACTTTATAGCCTCGTCGATTGATTTTCCCTCTTTGCCCAACACTCTATGCCTAACGTCAACATTACTTACCTTATTAAACCATCTAACGTCAGACAGAGATCGCAGACATCTATCATCGAAAGCTGTCAACCTTTTCATGTCTTCAACGCGTATTGGCCATGTTTCAGAGCCATAGAGAAGGACGGAGCGAACTGATGAGCAGTACACACGTCCCTTGGTTGATAACCGGATGTCACACCTACGCCAGAGATGGTGTAAGTCAGCGAAAGCAGCTCGAGCTTTTCGGATCCGTGCTGAGATTTCATCGCCAATCAGTCCGTTGGTGCTGATACAACTTCCCAAATAGGTGAAGTGGTCAACATGTTCTATCACTTCACTCCCTATCACTAAGCTAGGGGTTGACGTAGTCCAGTCCTGTAGCAGCATCTTACATTTTGTAGGGGCGAATGGCATGTCAAACATACGAAGATTGCTTCTCAAGGTGTTCAGAAGACTCTGCTGGATTTTGTCGGCATCCTCCCCGAACAGGACTATGTCATCTGCATATTCTAAGTGAAGATCTCTGCAAATGGTGATTTGAAGATAAGGTGCAAAAAATTCCCCTATCTCTTGTCTTCTACGATTACAAAACTAACTGTTAAGCACTTCATGCAGTGGATGTTATACATGCATAGAAATTATTCAAATTTTCTCAATAGACTTACTTCATTCAAATAAACAGAATCTAAGGTAGCGCTCAGCTCTTTCAGCTCATTCTCAGACATGGATGTAGTACGCTTAATTTGTTCAATGTATTCAATTCTATGAAAACGTGAAAGCATTTCATCAGTTGCTGGTTCAGGCTAATTAAACAATAAGAAATAAATAAATACACATAAATTAGTGCAGAAATTAGTTAATAATTTAGCTTAAGCATTTACAAAAAACTTGGGGGATCTGGACTTCGCCGATGATATATGTCCGATTTCCCACAAACTGGAAGATATGCAAGTGAAAAGCAACAAGCTGGCAGAACAAGCATCAAAGATAGGACTTCAAGTGAACATAGATAAAACAGAGGTGATGAAGATTCCTGGCCAACACCAACAGCAACAACAACAACAACAACAGACAGCAGTCAGAAAAAATGGGAGGAACCTGAAAGAAACAACCTCCTTCACCTGCCTACCTGGGAAGCATGTTTCAACTACAGGCGCACGGAACTGACGAGGATATCAAAGCCAGAACCGGAAAAGCAAGACAATCTTTCATTACTCTTAAGTCTGTGTGGAGGTCAACAGCACTCAGAATCAAAAATAAGATCCGGATTTTCAACTCCAATGTGAAGTCAGTCAGTGCTACTCTATAAGGATCAGAGACTTGGCCAGCGCGTCATAAAGAGCACCTCAAACAAACTTCAGACCTTCATTAACAGTTGTCTTCGCTCAATACTCAGGATCAGATGGCCGGCCGGAAAAGATCAGCAACAGGGATCTCTGGCAGTGATCGAACCAACCAGGAACTAATTGTGAAACAAATAGGCAGGAAGAAATGGAGATGGATTAGCTGACCATACTCTGAGGAGACAAACCATCAAGTGACATCACTAGACAAGCCATTGCTCGAGTGGAACCAGGCCGAAAGGGAAGCGGCGAGTTGGTCGTCAATGCAAGGGTGACTTGGAGGAGGTCACGTGAAGAGGAGATGAAAGCATGTGGGCAAACTTGGAGCGGAGTGAAAAAGTTGGTAGAAAGCCGAACGCAATGGAAGCGTGCAGCTGAAGCCCTATGTTCCTCTAGGAATTAAAGAATACAATAATAATAATATATAATATTTACTAATATATCATGTATTACATTGATTGTTATCATTGTTTCCTTTAATTCCTAGAGGAACATAGGGCTTCAGCCACATATCTCAATGGCGTTCGATTCTCTGCCAACTTTTCCATCCGGCTCCACGTCTGCCCACATGCTTTCATTTCCCCTTCAAATGACCTCGTCATCCTGCATTTCACTCTAGCACTGACGACCAACTAACTCGCCTCTTCCCATTAGAATTCCAGTCGAGCTATAGCCTAGCCTGGCGTGCAATGGATGTCACTCACTTGATGACAGTTTGTTTTCTCAGAGTATGGCCAATCCACCTAACTGGATTTCTTCTTGCAGATTTGTTGCACACTTGGTTCGTTCCCAGAGATTCTTGTTGCTGATTGATCATTTCTGGCCGGCCACCTGATCTTGAGTAGTACTGAGCGAAGACAGCTGCTGATGAAGGTGTGAAGTTCGTTCGAATTGGCCTTCGTGACGCAGCGCGGCGCCAAGTCTCTGATCCGTATAGAGTAGCAGTGACTAACTTCCCATTGGAGTTGAAAATCCCGATGTTATTTTCATGCTAAGCGCTGAGTGGTGAGTGCTGTTGATCTCCACACAGACTTGGTGAGCGGTAATGAAAGCTTAGCTTGCTTTCGAGATCCTGGTTGCTTTGATACCCTCATCAGTTGAGTCCGCCTGTAGTTGAAACGATGCTTCCCATGTAGGTAGAGGGGGTTGCTCCTTTCAGTTTTCTCCCATTCATGCATGAAAACAAAATATTATAACTCTGACTGACTATTTGATAGAATTGAAAGGAATTTCGACCAGAGACACATTCAATGGGAGGCCAAGTGTCTGCCTAGACCAGTGATCAATGCTAATCTGTCCGCAAAAGTATAGGCAGATAATCTATCGCTAGTTAGATTTTCATTCAATCTCAAATCAAACCTCAATTATATCGATGACACTCTTTTACCCAAAGCATCCACCTTAGGTAGTGTTGCTGTTAAGCTATTCTGCGAGGCGTTCGAAGTGAATACAGGAGTAAGGACAAGCTGACTGTCTATTATCACCACGGATGACATTATTAATTGTAGTGGACTGGATTATGCGTTAGACTGTGGGGAGCGATGAGACAGGAATATGTTCGACCACCGATAAGAAGACTCTACAAGATTTGGATTTCGCAGATGACACATGTCTAGCGTCACACAAACTCGAAAACTTACAGGCGGAAAGTAACAAACTGGTTGAAGAAGCCTGCAGCGAAGACAGGATCTCAGGGGAGCGCATAGAGAAGACGGAAGTGATGAAGATAACCAAACCAACAACAACCAGCACCAAGAGGCCTCCAAAGCCTCAGGATGGTCGGGGGTGGGTGTCTTGCGCTGCGGGTTGGCCACCCCTCCGTACACCTCTTAAAAAGGCTCCCATATGACCGGGCGTCTTACATAGCCTCTCCTGAGGAAGTCCTACTCACTGCCTTCACGTGGCGGAGGTGTTTTCCACCGAAGTCAGACGGCAAAAGCGGATGCCCGGCGCTCTTCACCGGGTTGACTGTCCATTGGATGACAGTCTAGGGGAGATGGCTAAACCCTGATTCCAAACCTCCAACGACTGGCGTATGAAGCTCACCGGCAGACGTATGGACAAAGGGCTTATTGGATGCCCTGGATGACTGGCCCCATTCAAAAAGGCGAATGAACCGGACTCCAGTCACCGGCTGCCAATGGATAGTGGACTCCCTACTCCACTCCTACTGCCTTGTAGGTCACACTTGGTTGTGTAAAGGCTAGAGCTGCACTCTCAAACAAAGGCCGAGCGATGCTGGGGACATCACTCGTACCCAATTCCCATGAAACTTCATGGTTCATGAAGCCGGCTCATCCTCCCGTAGGAGATAGCCGAAGTAAAGTAAAGTAAGCACCAAGAGGCATCAGAGGGAGAAAAAATTGAAAGAGGTTAGTTTCTTTACTTATATCTAGGCAGTCGGAACGAATGAAGATGTCAAAGCCAGTCAGAATCGTAAAGGCAAGATAAACCTTCATCAACCTGAAAACAGTTTGGAAATCTTATGCACTCTGCCTCTCAGCATTAGAGAAGAAGATTCAAATTTCCAACAAAAATATGAAGTCACTCCTTTTAAACTGGTCAGAAATTTGGCGAGCGTGTCACGAAAAGGATTTTCAACAGTTTGCAGACTTTTATCAACGACTGACCATTTTGTTGGCTCCATACTGAAGATCAAATGGCTAGCTGCTGGTCAGAAAGAATCAGTAACAAGAAACTATGGGAACAAGATAAGATAAGATAAGCTTTATTCCAAATCAGTACTTGTGATACAGAATGGAATTCTCAGCATTTTTGTTTACTACAATATTGCATCCAGTTAGTACATTAACAATAAATGAAGTTCTACATAGATTAAAGTTATCTCAGTCAGTTTTGACAACAACATATTAGCATGTCAGTAGCAAAGCCAAAATTTAAACAGTGTTAGAAGGTGTTAGAAAAGTAGATACTACTAGCAAATTTACTGGCGTAAGCGATAGCAAAATGGCCGAGATATACAGAGTGTGAAAGAACGAACAAGAATGTTTTAAGTAGAGTTTGCAAGGAAGAGAGAAACAAAACGGCACATAACAAAAATAAATACAGAAAGAGAAAAAAAATGGTAGAGAGAAAACGTTGTACCTGTAAATGATGTGAGTTGGAAAGACGAGATCCATTTGTTCTACTGACTATTTAATAAGTTAAAGGTATCACGCCTAATGCTTTCTTTCTCGCACAGAACACGAGCTAGGTAGGGTATGGATGAGTTTTTGTACTTACTAGTGCGGGCATATAGTTTCCTATATAGGCTTCTGGTTTTCCCTGAAGAGATACATGGGGAGAGTTGTGAATGTAGAGGGTGTTGTGAGTCAGATAAAATGGATTTCGCCCATTTTTCACATGAGTCCATGTGCCTGTCAACCAGAATATTAACAAGCTGGCTAAGTGGCACCCTGTGGCTTACCCTGCTGACAACCTTCAACATCCTGCGTAATAAGGTATAGTCTTTCTTTAATAGCCCAGGAAAGACTAAGGGGGAGCAATAGAGAATAATAGGCAGAATACGGGAGTTAACAAATTGTAGGAGTAAGGGTTGGGTTACACCAGAATGTCTTAACTTCTTGATATAGAAGGTAAGACGGTATATTTTCTTGGAAATCGTCAAGATATGAGACGACCAGGAAAGATCAGAAGATAGAGTGACTCCTAGGTATTTAATTTCCGACTTGGTTTCAATTTCAGTCCCATCTATGTTGCACACCTCGTGAGTGCTAACCAGTTTGTTTAGGTCAGATTTATGCCTAAAGGTGAAATTAACTGTTTGGCATTTGGAGGGGTTTAAGGTGAGACCGTTTTCCTTGGACCATTGGCTGATTTCTGATAAGAAGCCATTTAGTTTGGAGCAGTCACTTTGACATTTGACAGGTAAAGATACAGTTAGGTCATCAGCATATTTGACAAAGTTAATGTCATTTGAAGATGGTAGGTCATGTAGGAAGAATGAAAAGAGAAGTGGGGTCGATCACTCAACAAACATGTTAGAGAGAATGGAGATGGACAGGGTGTATACGCCACTGAGGAAGCCGTCGAATGACACACAGCGCGCCAGGCAATGACCCACCCACAAGTGGGTCGTCGCCAGTGCGAAGGTGACATAGAAGATATCATATGGAGAGGATAAAGAGGAGATGAGAAATTATGGGCAATCGTGGACCCAGCTGAAGAGGAGAGCAGAAAAAAGAGAACAAAGCGGATATGTGTTTTTGAAGCCCTATGTTCTACTCGGAACCCAAGGGAATAATAATGAGCAAAGTGGATAAGGAATACAGTGCTATACATGAGCACTGATCACTAAAATTCATTTTGTTCTTTTGCAACTCCAAATGGAAGACAGGCTTTTAAAACTTGAACTTTAAAGTTTCAATAGCAGAGGTGTTTATCTATAATTCTTCACATGGTGGAGCTGCTGATCGTCTCATGCCCAACCTCGCCCGCTTACTGATCTTGGCGAGACTCACGAATGCATCGACAGGGAATCGAACCCCGAACTACATGCACAATTGGCGAGTATTTTACCACTGAATCAATGATCCAAGCCAGCTGCTCTCGACCGGGAACAGAACCCGAGCCTTCCATCTGACAGATGGAGGATATACACCACTAGGCAATCAAGATCGATACCTTACGTAGAGTTGTGGCGTATCACTTCAGTTCAATGTACAATATAGGGTAACACAGCCAATTACATAATCATAACTTACATTTATAATCAAACAACGCGATAGTAATCCATACGTTGTACATTTATCCAAAGCAGTAGACAATCGTTCAGGACATTCAACAAAATTAGGAAACCATATATTCTTATGCAATAACATACGTTCATCATATATAAATGCAGTTCTATTGAAAATTAAGAAATATGCGAGTAAATTTATTATCATCAACTCATAATTCATAAACTTACTTTCTGTTAAGTGATGCTCGTCTTTGAAAGTGCTAAATTTATTGAAGACAAGGGGGGATAGAAGGTTGAAGAGAGATTCAATTAAGAAATTATTAGCTTACTTACATCATTTCCACCTGGCAGAGCAAATACAATCGGTATATCTTCATCTCCGAATGGAGCTTTCATACGATTTTTTCGTCGAGCATTAGTATTCACCTGAAAGATAAAATAAGAAAGCGGGGGGAGGGGATTAATTGAATAGGCATGCAATAGTACACCATTCAACAGTAATTAATACAAAATCGTATGTGTCTATTTCAATGCTATCTCTGATCATTGATAGTATAACAGAGTGAGTACTACTGAAGTTAAGCATCGAGTGTTAGGTAAGGAGTAAGAGTCGAAATTGATGAAGTTGTGAAGCTATATCGATTCAGATGGTTAGAACAAGTGTTACGCATGCCTGCCTAGCTGTCGATTGCCTTCCATGATGGGAATTGTTACCTGACATAGGATCAGATTGAAAAAGAGATAGTCTGTCTGTCTGTTTTCGACATAGAGCTTTGCACCGATGTGCGGAAGTTCAAGTCGCCACACTCCCCACATGTAGCACACAAACCAAGAGAAGAAAGTGGAGGAAATTCATAATAAAGACAGTAAACAGAGGTGTGAGACAAAGAAATAGAAGTAACGAAGAACAATGCAGTTTCATTTTAAATCATAAGTCACAAGAAGTGGATGCATCTACGCCATTGAGAATGATTTTGAGCCATATCATCAATTGTTTCCAACCTTTGGTTTTGACCGTCCCAAGGACCACAACCAGACAGGAAGTCTACACCTTCCTACGTGGCTAGCTTAAACTAACTGTTGTGGATTTGATTGACTGGTGAACCCATGTTTTTGTTTGACCACCGCTAGCTCTTTCCCAGCCTGACCCTATGCCAGTCAGCTAACATCGCCTGTTGTCGAGGACGGCGATGACTAGGCCAGCATACGTAACACATTTCCTAACCAGCTCACGCAATCGATGTAATTTCACAGCCTCGTTGATTGATTTCCAATCCCTCCTTACCTAGCACTCGACCGATGCCTAACCTCAATATTGCTCACTTTATTATACCACTTCACACGGGAGATAGAGCGCAGGCAAGAAAAGAGCTAGTGATGATGGTTAAACCAAAACTTAGTACATAGTTTGAGCCACGTAGGGTGGTGTAGCTTTCCTGAGTGGTTGGGGTCCGGGAGACAGTAAGAACAAATGGTTGGGGATAATTGGTGATATGGCTGACACAAAATCGTTCTCAATGACGAATATAAGTTTACTCTTTGTGATAGCTCATATACATTAATGTTCTTTCGTATATTACTTTTCTTTCTTCCTTGGTGTGTTATATGCATTGTAGCAGCATGACAACATAATGGTTGGAAATGTCAAGTAAACTTAGTTGATATTCAAGTATTGGTTTGTAGGGATTTGGTTGATTGGTTACAGGATTTCATGATGAGCTAACATTGGTTAGAGAACCATTGGAAAACCAAGGAACACTGGACAGCTGTTTCGTCCTAGTTTTGGACTCTTCATCGGTACGCACCCACCGGGATCCGAACTCAGGACCTTCTGGATACAAGACGAGCTCGTAGACCATTAAGCCACTGGGACCCGATCCAATGGCCAGTCCATGAATTCTAAATTCTGCCAATTCACGACATAGCGCAACCCCTAGCCAATGTCTTTGGCGAGTATTTGTCCTCACACGCGACCTGGTGCACCCTACTGGTCACGACTTTTCACTAGAACCCGAGGTAACTACCTGCCTGAATAGGGCAAGTCGCTAGTGAGCATCTCATTGATATTCAAGTGTTGGTTTGTAGCGATTTGATTGGTTACACGATTTCATATATATATATATATATATATATATATATATATATATATATATATATATATATGACACATCATCAAGGGAGAAAGATAATACTTCGTCTTTCATATATCAGCAGCTAAGAGTATCTTTCAAGCTTTAATTGTCATTCAAATGTTAAATTCACACTTACATAGGGTGTACCCGTAGCATTTGCAGCCATTAGGTAGTGAGTAAATCTTCTTAGTTATACGAAAGTTTCTTTCTTTTTGTTTACGTCAGTGCTGAATTGCAAGCCAATTTTAACTGTCAGAATCTTAGTGTTAAAATAGAAATAGAACTGAAAATAAGCAAAGAAAACACATTAGGGTTAAGTAAATCCACTGCGTGAGAAATACACGCACATTTTTTAAGACTGTTTAATTTCATTACTCAAAATATCTACATTATAACTGTGAATACATTTCATCTTCATACAATATAGCAATGAACCACAAACACACACACAAACACACCTGGCTATCAAAACCTCAGTAGATGAAGCGGCCAAGTGACCTTGTGATTGAAAGTTAAGCGTTTGAACAGTTTTGTCTACTAGATACATTGTAGTTCAGCTTTCTACGAGAACAGGAGTGACGTAAGCTAGTGAACCATTGAAAACCAGGGATTAATGGACAGCTGTTTCGTCCCACTAGCCTGGAACTCACTAACAGTACGCAAAGGGCGAGTGTACTGCCCATCAGTCCACTCCGTCCCCCTTTATGGCTGTGAGACTTAGCCACTGAGAGAGGAAGACGTGAAAAGATTAGCTGTCTTCGATCATAGGTGCCTGTGCTCTATCTCCCGTGTGAAGTGGTATAATAAAGTGAGCAATATTGAGGTTAGGCATCGGTCGAGTGCTAGGTAAGGAGGGATTGGAAATCAATCAACGAGGCTGTGAAATTACATCGATTGCGTGAGCTGGTTAGGAAATGTGTTACGTATGCTGGCCTAGTCATCGCCGTCCTCGACAACAGGCGATGTTAGCTGACTGGCATAGGGTCAGGCTGGGAAAGAGCTAGCGGCGTTCAAGCCAAAACATGACTTCATCAGTCAATGAAATCTACAGCAGTTAGTTTGAGCTAGCCACGTAGGAAGGTGTAGACTTCCTGACTGATTGGGGTCCTCGGGACGGGAAAAACCAATGATGGCTGGAAAAAATTTGTGACATGGCTCAAAATCATTCACAATGGCTGGCTCAGATGCATCCACTCCTTGTGACTTATAATACTCAATAAAGCTATATTGTTCTTCGATATTACTATTATTTTTGCCTCATATCTCTGTTTACTGTCTTTATTTAGCTTTTCTTTCTACTTTCTTCTCTTGGTTTGTGTGCTACATGTGGGGAGTGTGGCGACTTGAACTTTTGCACATCGGTGCAAACTTCTATGTCGAAAACAAACACTAGCAGTGCGGCATCCACCAGTATTTGAACTCAGAACCTTCCGGTCACAAGGGAAGCTCGTAGTGCGTTTGGCCACTGGGACCCAATTCAATGACCAAGCCACGAATTCTAACTTCTACTAATTCGTGATTTTAACACGACTGGCACCAGGGAAATGTCATTGGCGGCGAGTATTTGTCCCCACTCCTGACTGGATGGATCTCGTTGGTCATGAATTCTCACCAGAATTTCAGGTGACTTCGTCCTGCAGCTAGTCACTATCCTAGAATCAGATTAATTTTCAAGATTTAGTTTATAGGGATTTGATTTTAATTCAAGTTTGACGACGGATTGACATCAGTTAGAGAACCATCGAGGACTTGTGTAATTCCATGGGGAAACTTGAAACAAATGACATTCGTAGGAATTAACTCTTGAAAACTATTTATTTTCTCACTATAAATATTCAAGCAGATATACATAAAACTTTACGCAGAAGTCCATCCGTTTATTTCACGATATAAAAAGGTTATGTGATAACGAGGTGATGTAATACTTTGATTTTCTTTTGTTTGTTTAAGGTTATCCCCATAGTGACAATGAACAACACCAACTAAATCATTTTAAAGTTCTTATAAGTAATAGATAGTCGAGTTTAACTCATAAGTTACAGGATTTCATCATGAGTTGACATTGGTTAGAGAACCATTGGAAAACCTGGGAGTACTGGACAGCTGTTTCGTTCTAGTTTGGGACTCTTCACAGTACGCACCCACTGGGGTTCGAATCCAGGACCTACTGGTTACAAAGCGAGCTCGTATACCATTAAGCCACTGGGACCCGATCCAATGGCCAGTCCATGAGTTCCAACTTCTGCCAATTCACGATATGGCGCAACCACTAGTCAATATCTTTGGCGAGCAATTATCTTCACACGCGACCTGGTGCACCCTACTGGTCACGATTTAACTCATAAGTGTTTGATTCACTTTTAATTATGCAAAATACTATGTGACAAAGGGACATGGTCAAGGCTGAGGTGATTAGTTCACAAAGGGCAAAGTATGCAAATAATATAACAGGATCTTTTCTCCTAGAAATAAACTTTCGTCTATTAATCAACAGTTTAACAATGCGAGGTTTGGAGACGTGTCTCGCCAACGTTAACAGTTGACTGACAACCAGTGCTTTCCAGGTTCAAGTCCCTCTCCACAATGATGTCAGCAGTTAAAGGTTAAATTGTGAATATTATCAGTCTTAAACAATAAGTGTGCAAACATATGGACTGGGATCAAACAATACGAGGGTAAAAATCACTAAAAACCCATGAATCGTTGCAGATTTGAACACATGTCTTACATTCAGTACAGTGCTAAAACGACGAGTTGTACACTAATGATACAGCTGCATATTTCGTCAACTTTCCATCAGTTCCAAATTGTCCAGGTAAACTAATCAAGTTTACAAAGCTGCCTCAACATATTTGCAAATGTAACATGATGTGAGCTAGCATGAGACCCAAAAATTATTCAACAGTACTCAGAAACAACATTTGCATAACTCATACATAAAAGGTCTAAGTTGGGACTAAACAAACCCGGAACACGATAAATGTTTAGATATAATGGAAAGGCAGTTGCGTAATACAGACATGATAGACAACTAATAGGCTGTGTAGCAATCCGATGAGTTCAACTCAAATTGGAAGAACAAACGACAAGTACAATTAAATCATAGTGAAAGAAGTAGAAATTAAAGCCAAAGATTGCGTCTATCTGTCTGTTTTCGACATAAAACTTTGCACAAATGTGCACCAGTTCAAGTCGTCACACTCCGTGTAGCACGCGAAGCAAGAGAAGAAAGTACAAGAAAAGCATAATAGAGACAGTGAGCAGAAGCGTGAGACAAAGGAGTAATAAAGAAAAACAAAACAGTTTCATTGGAGATCATAAGTCACAAGGAGTGGATGCATCTGCGCCACTGAGAACGATTTTGAGCCATGTCACCAATTGTTTCCAACCATAGATTTTTGCCGTCCCGAGGACCCCAGCCTGGAAGTCTACACCTTCCTACGTGGCTTAGACTAACTGTTGTAGATTTCATTGACTGGTTCCATGTTTTTGTTTGACCGCCGCTAGCTCTTTTCCAGCCTGACCCTATATCCGCTAACAGTGCTCGTCGAGGAAGGCGATGACTAGGCTAGTCATACGTAACACATGTCCTAACCATCTCAGTCGATGTAATTTCACAGCCTCGTCGATTGATTTCCCCTGTTTACCTAGAACTCTACGCCTAACCTCCATGTTGCTCACCTTATTATGCCACTTTACACGGGAAATAGAACGCAGGCACCTATGATCAAAGACAGCTAGTCTTTTCATATCTTCCTATCTCAGTGGCCAGGTCTCACAACCATAAAGGAGGACGGAGCGGACTGATGAGCAGTAATCAAACAGAAAGAAGAGTAAAGACATCGAGTTAACAGGGTGAAGCAAAATTGATAACGGCTTTTCTATGAACACATCAGTAAGACTTCAAGGGTTAAATAACAATTTCCTCGGTAAATTTGAGGGGAATTGAACTACATTAGATTGATAATCTCAAAGAATTTCAGAGTCTCCACCCCATGATCTGTACCAACGAAATGCCTGGCAATAGCACTATTGAAGGCATCTGTTCTCTTGAGACGTAGGCTCTTTCGTACATGTTCAGAAAACCGAAGGTGTGCCATTCTTTCTGTTCTTCCAATGTAACTGTTACCGCAGATACGTGTAAATTTGTGTACACAATTAGAGTTAATTTAAAAATGATAATGATTTGCTTTATTCCAAAGGGTATCTATCGGTCTTTGATTACATTAAAGAGCATGTCGTCCGATAAACGGGATTCAACTCAGCTGCCGGATAGGTCCCGGTTAGTGACGTATTCAATCTTCAGTTGACTATTCCTGCAATATTATCACCTTTGAAATGGAGTTGTATGAAAATAGGCTTCTTTTCCACTATGATTTGTTTTGCATTTAAACCTCAGCCAGAAGTTCTTCCCATAATTCTTCCGTAGAGCATATTCCCCTATCTCTATCCTTGTAGAGCCATGGGCCGTCTGCCAAACGCTGTATTAGCAAACATTTTGTTTAACCTTGAAAGAACAAAGTTGAAGCGTGCAATCGACCAAATAACTTCCTGTCGATATACGGATTACATATTTGTAGTATGCTGCAGTGAAAGTGATGCATCCTACCTACTTGGACTACCCAATGAAGCACATGCAAACATTGACTACACTATAGAACATGAAAGTAACGGAGAAGTTCATTTTCGTGACATCTGCATGTTTAACGCCTGAAATATAGCAGCCGCCAGAGATCAATTCATCGAAAGCCTACATGGAATGGACAATACTTACATTTTTATAATTTTCGCCCAATTAGATATAAGCTATTCTGTCTGTCTGTTTTCAACATAGAACTTTGCACCTGTGTGCAGCAGTTCAAGTCGCCACACTCCCTCCGTGTAGCACACAAACCAAGAGAAGAAAGTAGAGGAAATTCATAATAAAGACAGTAAACAGAGGTGTGAGACAAAGAAATAGAAGTAACGAAGAACAATGCAGTTTCATTTTAAATCATAAGTCACAAGGAGTGGATGCATCTACGCCATTGAGAATGATTTTGAGCCATATCACCATCTGTCTCCAACCTTTGTTTTTACAGTCCCGGGTACTGGTCGAAACTGTTTTATAGAGCCAGAAGAATGTGCTCTACAGAGAAATTATGGGAAGAACTTCTGGCTCTTGAGATGTTGGAAACCAACGGCACGGAAGATGTCAAGATTGAATGCAGAACAAGTCATAGTGGAAAAGAAGCCTGTCTGTGGAAAAGAAGCCTATTTTCATACAACTCCATTTCAAAGGTGATAATATTGCAGGAATAGTCAACTGAAGATTGAATACGTCACTAACCGGGACCTATCCGGCAGCTGAGTTGAATCCCGTTTATCGGACGACATGCTCTTTAATGTAATCAAAGACCGATAGATACCCTTTGGAATAAAGCAAATCATTATCATTTTTAAATTAACTCTAATTGTGTACACAAATTTACACGTATCTGCGGTAACAGTTACATTGGAAGAACAGAAAGAATGGCACACCTTCGGTTTTCTGAACATGTACGAAAGAGCCTACGTCTCAAGAGAACAGATGCCTTCAATAGTGCTATTGCCAGGCATTTCGTTGGTACAGATCATGGGGTGGAGACTCTGAAATTCTTTGAGATTATCAATCTAATGTAGTTCAATTCCCCTCAAATTTACCGAGGAAATTGTTATTTAACCCTTGAAGTCTTACTGATGTGTTCATAGAAAAGCCGTCATCAGTTTTGCCTCTCCCGACGTCCGTACTCTTCTTTTCGTTTGGTTACGTAATCTTTGGCTTTAATTCCTGTCTCTCTCTCTCTCCCTCACTATGACTTAATTTTACTAGTCCTTTGTTCCTCCGATTTGTGTTGAACTTATCGGGTTGCTACGCAACCTACTAGTTGTCTATCATCTTTTCAGTATTACTCAACTCCTTTTCTATTATATCCAAACATTTATCATGTTCTCGGTTTGTTTAGTCCAAACTTGAACCTTTTGTGTATGGGTTATGCAAATGTTGTTTCTGAGTACTGTTTATTAATTTTTGAGTCTCGTGTTAGCTCCCCCACAGTGGGGCACACATAGTGCTCCCCTGTTGCTATTTTTCAAGTTCTGAAAGTTCCTACTAATTTCCATGAAGTTATTCTCTCTTCCGTACGTTTTGATCCGTCATAATTTCCTTACCTTTAACTAATTTTGTGTGTCCTTCGAAGTACGACAAACCGAACCGACGCACCTTGTGGAAAATTATACACCTTCACACCAGTCAGTCATATGCCAATTTAGGGCCTTATGGAAAATACAGAGTGGGAATTATTGATTTGTGGTAACTACTGACTTTCACCATCACTTTTAAGTGCTTCAGAACCTACTGTTTTCTTATCGATGAATGCCTACTGATGTCTCTATAGATTTCAGCAAGGCCTTCGACAAAGCGTCTGATAAAAGTTTGCTAAAGGAACTGGAAAGTTTTTGAGACGCGAACTCAGATTAAAGAATTCATGTCGATAGGATATAGAGGGTTACGTTTAACTCAAAAATCTTCATGGACAACGGCTTATAATGGTGCGCTATAAGGTAACGAACTCAGCTACCTCTTATCCTGTATATCAGTGAACTGCTTGGACTAACCAAGTCTTTTATGGTTCTCCACGTGGACCACCTGAAAATCTTTAGGGAGCTGAAGAATGATGAAGACATATTTGAGGTGCAAACATTCCAACAATCTGCTTGAGTGGTAATAGGTACGCACAGTTACCATCAACATAGCAAAGTGTGCAGCCACATACGTCGAATAGGCAAATTCAGCTCATGATATTGTGGAAACACGACCAGTTCAAAAACCGCCTTTATTTATTTCAAACACATGCTGATCTGTGTGTCAGTAAGTCATAGCTTAAAAACTACAGTATACTTGCTCAATTGCAGCTCTCATTTTTAGATGCTTATGCAAGTTATGCAGGGCATTTACTAGAAATAGCAGCGATATGTTCACCATTTAATATATATATATATATCTGATGAGGTCTAAATTAGACCAAAAGTATCCAAGCAGCTGGACCTTGCCTCAAGTGGGACTCAAGTTTCGAAGTCGTATGATTATAAATGATATGAGTATGAACAATAAATTTTGTTCGAAACGTCATTCACTGAATAATACTGTTTCACTGTGTGATATATATATATAATAAGTGAACTAATATGGAAATCATTTGCATTGGAGAGGGTTCAAGGAATAGCCCCAGGCATCACTCCTAATATGTTCTATATTATATGATGAATGACAACAGATTGCATCTCTACTTCCAATCATATTGTAGCCAGAGGCAATCTAATTACGATGTCCAAGATATTAAGAGACCACTACGGGTTCGGCACAGCTGTCTTCTTTTCCATCAGATTGGGATATTAAGGAAAATATAAAATAATACTCTATAAGTCAAGGAGGAACTTTATAGATGTGTACTAGTTCCCATACTAAGTAATTAACTTTCAGAACCGACTTTCAGAAGAAATGATGTCTGAAAACATAATTGCCTCGTTCTAGAACTTCAGTTATTTCTGCAAATGCCTCAAAATTACTCCACCAAAACACCCAAACTTTCTATTAGGAGAAAGATGTCTTCAATAATACGACTCCTGTACACAGGAAACCAGCATGGCCTACTCGCAAAACACTTTTTCTCAATAAGGAAAAACGCCGCATTTTACATGAAACATTGGCTAACAATCTGTTAGCAAGAAGTAAGGCGATATAGTTTACTCATCGGCACCACAACACGTTAGTCAAAAAATATGTGCGATCAAAATATTTAACCAAAAACTATGACAGTCAATCATCCCAAGTCATTCGCCTAATTATTATTTTAAATTTTCCTTCTAAAAGATACCAAAAATACCACCACAAGAGGTAGAACTAACCACTAGTCAATTAGAGGTGCTGATTTGATCCAAGTAGCACAACTTTTGAATCAGCGTTTAGACTGGTATCCAATATCCAATATCCAATGGGCATGTAATGCGTCAGATCCAGATTTGTTGATTGTGGATAGAATCCTTGAAGCCTGTGTTAATACTTTCCTAGTAAATTTCTTGAATGATTTAAATGAAAGCGATAAAACCAGTTCTTCGGGAGCTGAGGACTCGGTGCGAGAACCAATACTCCACATAGAAATAGTTGCTTTTTGTTTTTTTAAATCTAGTGTTATGCTGTCTGAGGTGTTCCGACCCGGCAGGCAGGGAAAGAGTATAAGTCAGATCCGTAGTTATTACTCAAAGTTTTAAACACTGTGACGAGATCTCCTCTCTTACTATGGTATTACAGTCGCGCCGCATCCGAAGTTAGTCGTACTTTTCCACGTGATTTTCGCTTCTTATTATTTTCTCCCGTATTCCCACTTTTGATGTAAATTTTTTAGTATTATTGATTACTGTTATATTTTATATGTATATAAAATATATATTTTTAATATCTAAACTTGCCTTTCTAGTCGCTGGGTATTATCCTTGCTTTTTTCCGCCTCAAGTTACTGTTTAAGAGTATCCATTCGTAGTTTAGTTTCACTCTCTATGGCATCAGCTGTAAAGGCCCTCTGAGTCCCATTGAATGAACATTTAACCAGGCCTCTCTTACAATGAAGCGGACAGATGCTGTGAAAATGCATGTACTTCCATGTTCAAGTAGGCTTCCTGTAAGTTGACCTTTTTGTTGAACCACTGTCTCTCCAACTTATCAGCAATTATGATGTATTTAGCAGCCATGTAGTGGACGGCCAAATATCCGCTAATAGACCTCTTGTTTGCAGACTGATATCATAATAAAGCATCTACTGAAATTCAGCCACAGAACAATGACTTAGCAACCGGTAGGTCAATGTAGTTGAAGATTGAACGATCAATTCATGGTTGTTTGCTCAAACCAAACTCTATATTTTTCTCGAGAGTCATCAATCCAGCAGTCATCGTCTCATCGTTCGCTGCTCAGTGGAAGATGGAAAACTATCAGAAGTATTATCGTGATTTATTGTTATAGCATTTATTCTTAGACCTTTTGTATAATGACCTTATTGTTAGTTACGTATTGGCGTAAGGATAAAGGAATCTCGAGTCGCCAATCAGTATTCAGATTTTCGCGTTGGTTTTTACACATTGTTTCCGAAAGTCTTCCAGGGACAGCGTGAGGTCCAGCGTAGTAAAGGCTGAACATTGACAGTTTCTAAGAGTTGTCTGACACGGTACGTTCAACGTTTGCGTTACATTTTAACTTGATTCGCTATATATTTCTATTTCTGCTGTAGGACTCTCACAAGTGTTTCCCCAGTTCCATAATTGTAACCAATAACTCTTTCACTAATTACTGTTATTATTATTATTGTATCCTTTAGTTCCTAGAGGAACATAGGGCTTCAGCTGCGCACCTCCATTGACTTCGGTTTTCTGACAACTTTTTCACCCTGCTCCAGGTCTGTCCACATGCTTTCATCTCCTCCTCGCATGACCTCCTCCAAGTCACCCTTGGACGACCAACTCGCCGCCTCCCTTTCGGGTTCCACTCGAGGGCTTGTCTAGTGATGTCACTTGATGGTTTCCTCAGCGTATGGCCAATCCATCTCCATTTCTTTCTGCCTATTTGTTTCACAATCGGTTCCTGATTGGTTCGCTCCCAGAGATCCCTGTTGCTGATCTTTTCTGGCCATCTGATCTTGAGTATTGAGCGGAGACAGTTGTTAATGAAGGTTTGAAGTTTGTTTGAGATGCTCTTTATGACTCGCCAAGTCTCTGATCCGTATAGTAGCACTGACTTCACATTGGAGTTGAAAATCCGGATCTTATTTTTGATGCTGAGTGCTGTTGACCTCCACACAGATTTGAGAGTAATGAAAGCTTGTCTTGCTTTTCCGATTCTGGCTTTGATGTCCTCGTCAGTTCCGCCTGTAGTTGAGACGATGCTTCCCAGGTAGGTGAAGGAGGTTGTTTCTTTCAGGTTCTTCCCATTTATGCTTATTGTGGTCTGTTGGTGTTGTTGATGTTGGCTAGGAATCTTCATCATCTCTGTTTTATCTATGTTCACGTGAAGTCCTATCTTTGATGCTTCTTCTGCCAACTTGTTACTTTTCACTTGCATATCTTCCAGTTTATGGGAAATCAGACATATATCATCGGCGAAATCCAGATCCTCCAAGTCTTTTGTGTCAGTCCATTTTATGCCTGTTCCCTCGTTGGTTGCCGTTGTCTGTCGCATTATCCAATCAATTGCAATCAGGAAGATCATTGGTGATAGTAGACAGCCTTGCCTCACTCCCGTCCTCACTTCGAAGGCTTCCGTAAGTTTCCCGTTGTGGATTACTTGGCATGCAGCATTGTCGTATAACTGTTGGATGAGGTGTATAATTGTCGATGGGACCCCGTAGTAGCGAAGTAGTTTCCAAATGACCTCTCGATCGACGCTGTCGAAGGCCTTTTCAAAGTCGATGAAGTTGAGATAGAGAGGTGACTGCCATTCCAAGCTTTGTTCAATGATGATCCGTAGAGTGGCGATTTGATCAATACATGATTTGTTTCTCCTGAATCCAGCCTGTTCCGGACGAAGTTTTTCATCTAGGGCTTGTTTGATTCTCTCCAGGATGATGCGACTTAGTATCTTGCTTGGAATGGACAGAAGCATAATTCCACGCCAGTTTTTACATTGACTTAAGTCTCCTTTCTTTGGAAGTTTGAATAAGTAACTGTTCTTCCAATCCTCGGGTACTTTGCCCTCTTTCCACACCTTCTCCAGTAGTGGTGTCATCAAGTCCGCTGTTGTCTCTGGGTCTATTTTCAAAGCCTCTGCTGGGATTCCATCTGGTCCCGGTGTTTTCCCAGTTTTAAGCATCTTGATTGCATTCAGGACTTCTGATTTCGTCGGGGGGTCAGTGTTCACTGGTAGTTCTGCTTCCGTTGTTGGTATTGCTGGACGTGTTGTAGGTGGCGGACGATTTAGAAGTCTTTTGAAGTGTTCAACCCAGTGCTTTCTCTGTTCCACCTCTTTGGTGATTGACTTTCCATTGTCGTCCTTTATTGGCTTAATCTGTGTCGAACGTTTGCCCGAAAGGTTCCTAGTTGTTTGGTAGAGTGTGGCGAGGTCTCCTTTGCCTGCAGCTTGTTCTGCTTCGTTTGCCATGGTTTCATAATATTTTCTTTTGTCTTCCCTGGCACTTTTCTTCACTCTTTTGTTCAGTGTATTGTAGCTTGCATTCAGCTCCTGTTTTTGTTGCTCGTCGTGCACTGGATAATCTTTTGCTTCACTGTCCTTCTCTCTTCTATTAGTTTCCAAGTGTCCGTAGTGAGCCACTGTTTGTCCTGTCTCTTTTTTCTGCCTAGAATTTCTATGCAGGTTTGGCTCCACACCGTTTTCAAGTTGTTCCAGTGCTTTTCAACGCCGACCTCTTCGCTAGTGTTGATTTGTGTCTCGGCTTTGTCCTTTATGCTTGCAATGAAGATGTCCTTTGTAGCCTGGTCCTTCAGCTTTTGAGTGTTGAACTTGGCTTGTGGTCTATCTGCAGCTCCTGATTCCCTGAAAGCTTTTAATTTGATTTGGATTGTCCCTTGTACGAGATAGTGGTCTGAGCCAACGTCTGCTCCTCTTCTTGCTTTTGTGTCCAGTAGGCTGCGCCTCCACTTCCTTGAGATTGAGATGAAGTCGATTTGGTTTTTGGTTTGCCCGTCTGGTGACACCCATGTAGCCTTGTGGATATCTTTGTGCTTGTATACACTGCCACCAATCACCAGTTCGTTGAAGGCGCAGAAGTCGGCGAAGAGTTCTCCGTTTTCATTCATTTCTCCTAGAGCTTCTCTACCCATGATGAGTTCCCTTCCCGTATTGTCTGGTCCCAGTTTGGCGTTCATGTCTCCCATTAGTATTTTCATGTCGCCAGCTGGAGTATTGTCCATTGTTGCCTGTAGTTGCCTGTAGAATTCTTCTTTCTTCTCGAGGTCTGCGTTGTTTGTGGGTGCATAACATTGTATGATTGACACTTTCCTTCCTTTGGAGTTGAACCTGGCGGTCATTATCCTGGACGAAATCGCCTCCCATTGTATCAGGGCTTTCGTTGCCGTTGGTGACATCATGATAGCCACGCCCTCGGTGTGCGTGTGGTTATCTTCTGGGTGACCGGAGTAGATCACTGACTCACCTGTTGACAATTTGGTGAGTCCACTCCCATTCCATCTGCTCTCACATATTCCCAGCACTTGTATTCCGTATCTTTTCATCTCGTTGGCGATCTGGGCAGCTTTCCCGTCTCGTACATAGTTCGGACGTTCCATGTTCCTACACAGACTTTTTCTTTTGGTGCAAGGAGGTTCAACATACTGAAGTTTCTTTAGCAATTTTTGTTTACAGGGTGGGGTTGCTAGCCTCACGCCTGAGAAAAGAATGATTACATTAAGTAAAAGTTTAGAGAGAAGCAACTTTTTGGGTTGCTCCCCTCAAAATCAGAAAATAACGGACAAACAATGAGAACAACATCAACAAAGGAAACAGTTCACAGAAAAAAGGGCAAAAAGCGACGACAACTATACAATAAGACAACATGCAATATAGTTCAGTACAGTTAACTAAAATGATATCTTAACCATAAACTCACTGACTTGGAGCAACTTGAACATATAAATCCAACAATATATACAATTATAGATGTGTTTATGTTTAAAAATTCCACAAATCCAAACAGTGGGTTATGTGTATTATCTGTCAATAAGATTGTATTTTTTGGATTCAGTGTTCGAAAGGTTAATAATTGTGATAATTTCCGCAAACTCTTTGCATAAAATTTTACAGTAATAAGAGTTTTTGTTAATGAGCAAAATGTAGCGTAATAGTCGAAAAGCGCGCCCGTTGTACCCTTTCACTAATTAGTTATGGTTAATCATATAAAAAGCCATGAACTCAGTCGCCTATTAACCTGATGACTGGTAGCAGATATATGCTCGCAACAAC